CCCCCCCCATCCGCCCCCTATTGTTTTCGGTCGACGCGACCGGCGCGAGAGACTGAGTCCAGTAGTGTTTTTCTTACGCCTCGGGATCTATTTTTCTCGCCTCGAGATTTCGGCCGTCCCCGACCGGATTCGAACACACGCACTGCCCGATTAGGCGCCGTCGCCGCGTCTTCTTGCCAACCACGCCAAGTCGTTTTTGAGCTTCCGCAGCTAGTCCCCGCTGTATCAACCGTATGTGCAGATGCTATGTCCAACCCGATTATTGACGCGAATAAATGCGAATGAACAAACCATGTATTGCGCTGATACGTGTAACGAGTATGTACGAACGTAAACGTAACAGAAATGTGACAAATGTATAGCAACGATGTACGTACGACGACGATGAATACAAACGAATAAATACGAACAAATGTATAAACGAACGAACGATACCAACGAACAGATGTAATCTGTTTTGGGTGACAATTTTTGGCGCCCGGCCGCTCTAAAGCGGGAACGATAAATCAACGTCGGTGTCGCTACGCGGATGTTTGTACGTGGTTGCCACAGAGATTCGACGAGTCTGCTGCGAGCACGTAAATAAGAGTTGCAGGGTAGATAGTGGAAGAATGTAAGAATATAGAGACAAAGAACGTGAGAAGAGAATAGATGGAACGTCGAACGTGGCGTCGTACGTTCCAAAGTAAAAGTGTGTCAATTTTGTCGTTAAGTTATAAGAGTGTCGAACAATTGTCACTGAATAAAAGATATTGATAATACGACGAGTTGCACGGTTCCTCTCGTAGTACGGTGAGTCGCTGATTTACCGACCATCGTACCTACGTGATTTTTTACCATGTCGGTATTTCAGTTCACGAGCCAGGAAATCCCGTACGACGTTCGGTCCTTGGTCCGTTCGTATACCTTGTCCGAGGTTGTACCACGTACGTGCGAGTGACGATCGTTTGCCAGGGCGTAGCACCAGACGGAGCTGTCGTCTCGCGCCGTGGTTGCCAATCGTAGAGACGTGGAATTTGGAATTGGAACGAGACGGTACGATTGGCAGCACGCTCGAGACCCGTAGCGACGCTGACGTCCGGGAGACGTCGCGCTAGCGACGTTCGTACGTGCGTGACACCGCGATCCGAAATGACGAGTTTGATGAATTATTACGACGTGCTTGGTTGCACGAGGGAATCGACGGCCGAAGACGTGAAACGCGCGTATCGCGCGTTAGCTCTCAAGTTTCATCCGGACAAAAATACGTCCGAATCTGATAGTGCGAATCTTCAACGTGTTCTGGAAGCTTGGCACACTCTGCGCGACCCGAAATCGAGACGGGAGTACGATGCTGTGCAAAGGCAAGAAGAGTTGGATCTGGAGAACGTCCCGATATATGCGAAAATATCGATCGACGAGATGAAAGAGACGGACGGTAACGGAGATACGTTGGCTTATCCGTGCAGATGCGGAGGATCGTATCGTATAGAGAAGCGATACACGTGGGAGAAAAATCAGTCGATACACGTTCCTTGTTTGGAGTGTACCTTCCTCGTTGTTATTGAAACGTGACGCTTGTACGCAAAGGTTGTTAGAGGCGCAAGACGAAGAACGTGTAGTTTTTAAAATGCAGCAACATTTTCTATTTCTTATAAAAAATGATACAACGGATAACACATCGTTACAAATATAAACTATTGAGCAATGTACAAATAAAAACACGATTCTTAAAATATCCTAGGTTCAATAATAAAAATTGCATTTACACGAACCGTGTTTTACATCGAAAATTGATTTTACAAGATTTATTGTCGATCGGGATCAAGGACTGTTCTCTATAGCTTGTGTAATTTCTACGACGAAGTTTGCGTAAAAAAACTAATTTACTACGAAAATCTATAAATTTGTAACTTGTTACGAATTTGCTTGGCATCTCTAGTTTCGGATAAACGTGTAATTTTCTTCTTTTTTACGTTTGTTCTTACGCGACAACTGATTTCATGTCGTCCAGTTGATTCGTGCTTATTGCACAGGATAAACTTGCAACTCTTATTATTGCACCATGGCAAAAAACCAGACTTGTTACCAATGTAAAAATCAATGTATCTCGTTTAAACGTAGACGATCCGATTGCTAATTACTATCGCCAATTTTTGATTAATTCTGGTTGCTCGACCGGGCGAACAATAAATAACGAATTGTGTTTTTTGAACGTGTTACGTATGGGAAATTAATCTTGCTACATTGGCGAGCATTTGTTAACGAACGAATACAAAGGCGTAAATTTTCCTGTCGCGAGACATAAATCACTGACTCGTAATCATTTACGCGATAATTGTAAAAGTGACGAAACACCTTGCGATATACTGTAAAGAAACTAAAAAATGTTTGACAAAACGTTATTTATACGATATAACTCGATCTTCGATGTACCCTTTGTACGTTGTAAATATTGTTTTCCTTTTGCAATATATACGTAATTATATTTCCAACTAAATTCAAGAGAGACGGAAAGAGAGAAATTATCGTTCTACGTTTTTAAAAATTTCTATTTTGCAATTTAAAATATCTTTACGACACGTATAACGTAACTAATTACAGACAGAAAAGACGACAAGTTACCGAACTTTTCCTTTGTATTTCAAGTTGCAACGTACGGATAGCTGTTTCCTCTACGTAACACGTTCGCTAATATTTCAATTAACAACAATATAAGAGCGATATAAGAAAATGTACAAATTCTAGTAAAATACTAGTAAATACTAGTAAATTCATTCGCTTCTCCAAAACGTATTTTAGGATCAAAATATCAGTTGCGAGTTGTATAATTGTATGATTTTTTTGTGAATATCTTCTAACGAACAAATTTAGACGATATAATAAAAATCGACGTAAATGAAAAAACAACAGCGTTCATTTCATTAAAAGATCGTTAAATATTGATTATATCATCCAATAAATTATGCACAATTCCCATAATAATTAATTAATTTAATCAACAAATGAAAAATTTAAATAAGCTGTGTAAAGTGCGGCAAAGAAGAATTTACGATACGAAGAATATTTTGCGATTATTTTCTTTTCTTTTCTTCCTATCTTTTCGTTCCTTTTGCTTTTATTTATTTTTTCCTTCTTCTTCTCGTTTCTCTGTTTTCAAACTGTGAGATTCTTTAAGCAATATTTTTATCTATAAGCTTGACAAATATGGTACGAAATCTTTCTTTTTCAGTACTTTAAAAATACTTTCCTAAACGTTCGTACAAATCGTTACGTAGAGTTGATATTCATAGAGAACTATCTTTCGTTTAAATTACTAGCGATTTTTTTCAAATTTCGTAACAGCGGTAATACGATAATACACTTATAAGCTCCTCGTTCTTCGTAATTTGTTGAGAGTCTTTAAAATCTCATATTTGTACACCACGATCGATACACTTTTTAATTAATTAATATAATTAATGCCTTCGGTTTAAATGTTCTACCACTTTGGAGATCATTTGTAACAACTACCGATTCAGCGTTTGACTTTCTGCGATTTCTCTTCTCAAATTTTCGACGTACATTCTTATCACAATCGCACACCACGTATGTAATATGTAATCATTGTACAGTCGATTAGTCACGCTACCTAATCAGTATATGTACATAGGTCATAGAACAGGGCAGTTTCATCCACGAAAAAGTACACTATTTTACCTCAACGTCAAAATCGAGAACGAGAAGTTTGGTCTCCTCCGTGCCATTACGGCTACCTACTGCACACACCAGTTTTGTATCACTTGCACGTATCCTCCACACAACACCACCACTTCCGCCGCTTTCCAGAGCCACCAAGTTTCTTATAAAATCACCTAAACACACGACAAAAACTTTAAGAGTCATCGAAAAGAATTACAATTATCGGGGAAAGAGGGAAAATGTAATACAGTAAAGGAAGACGCACCAGTTTTAACATCCCACAATTTAACTGTACCATCGTCGGACGAAGTAATTACAAAGTGACTGTTAAATTGAAGACAAGTGACGGCAGACTGATGCTTATTTGGACCGGACAAGGTTTGAAGGCAGTGTCCGCTAACAATATCCCATACTTTAACTGTTGAATCTGCGTTTCCAGATACCAGTATATTGTTACGCAGTTCCATTCCAGAAGTAAGCGACTGATGTCCCATTAATGTATGTCTACATGCGCCAGTTTCAACTTCCCATACTCTTATGCTTGTATCCAGAGAACCGCTAACAACATGTACGCCATCAAACTGACAAAGAAAAAGAAAGAAGAGACCGTATTAACAACATTTCTTGACACAATTTATGTACAAACGAACTTAGTACTGTCCAAGATAGACTTCTAGAAGAATTCTAGATTTCGTATCTTACAAAAGGGTGTTCGCTCGGTAAACTTTGTTAAAAAGTACCGCTTCAATTGTAAACATCAGTTGGAAAAAATTATAAATTATACATTTTCCTAAATATATATTGTACAGGGTGATTGAACTTCGCCAGTGTGTTCTACAGATAGAAATAAAGGAAAAAATGCTATGTAAACATAGGTTTGCAAACGCTTTACGAGAAAGTTGTAACACTAATGTAGAATTTAAATGAATATCAAACTTGTAATTGATACTTCGTACTAAGCTGATGGTATTGTGTCTGCTTCGAGCGACATTTGCTACCTCATATTTTGTATTCGTTTATGAGTTTTATTCGGCGAACAAATGTGTATCGGTTCTAAACGTAGTGCGTAAATTTCTGTTACCTTTTTTGTTACACCTTTTTTATAAAGCGTTCGAGAACCTATGCTTGTACAACATTTTTTTTTCTTATTTCTACTCGCAGAATCCACTGGCGAAGTTTTATCGCCTGAACAACAGACATCCTGTACATCGGATTAATCGGTATGTCAATTTTTCGTATACTTGATACTCGATTAATGCTTACTTGCAGAGAATAAACACGATTTGTATGTCCTTGTAAAGTATGAAGGCACTCCTCGCGTTCCGGATTCCAAACCTTAACCATATAATCGTAGGCGCCACTAACCACTAATTTTCCATCATATTGCACACATCTAACAGCTGCCAAATGGCCCACGAGCACATGTAAACATTCGCCGGTATCCACTTGCCATACCCTTAAAGTTGCATCTCTACTACCACTGACTACTTTGTTACCATGTAGATGCATACACCTGACCGTTGACGTATGTCCATACAAAGTATGAATACACTGACCAGTTTCAGCATTCCATACTTTCAGGGTGCGATCTGTACTACCACTGATTACAGTGGTACCAGACATTTGAGAGGACCATACACCACCGGTATGCCCGACTAATGT